CGCGCCCCCATCTTGAGCCCTGCGTGCGGGGCCGCTGCAGTCTCGGAACGATGCGGCCGTTCTGGTGCGACACAGAGGGATTCTGGGATCAAATAGTGCGCGCGGGGCGGAGCCGGGCCGCCCACCGCCCGCGCATGCGCCGCCTGGCCCCCCGTAGCCCCGCCCAACACAGGTGAGGTTCTCCAGGTTAGGATGCCACGCTAAGCCTCCCCACCAGATGTCGTTGGGTTTGCTTCCCTTGGCAGTCAATTTGTTACGTATAAGCCACCTGGACCATCACCCATGGTTATAAAGCCTTGGTGGCAATATAGACTTCTTACTTACAATAGCTTTGGAATAAAATGTGAAAGAAAAAAAGACTAGAGTGAACCCATTAGGTGGAGAACGAGTGAGTTACTAATCTCTGAACTGATTTATCTTCAAAAACGTGATAGTATCTACCTTAGAATACCGCAGAGGTTAAGTGAGAGAATGCTCAAGTGTTTTGCTTAGCCCTTGTTCCATATCCGCTATTTTCTCTGTTCTTATTAAAAAGATAAATAAGGGACCAGCAGGTGGCATGGTGGTTAAGGCGCTGGACACTCCCGCATGGCTGACGATAGAGTTCGAATCTGGTGGCTTGCTTTGTCACTTCCTCTTTCTCTCACTCTCACCCTCTGTCTCTCTCTGGTCAAATTTTAAAAAATAAAAATGAATGAATAAATAAAATAAATATTTTTTTAGAAAGATAAATGAAAGCCACTGTTTTTTAATCAAGGGCGTGACTTAATCCTTTAAAGTTTTTGCTATAAGGTGCAAGTGCTGACTGTAGACAGAAAGGGAAAGTGAAAAATGCCCTCATCCCATCCCACTCTGCCCCCAGGGATGGCAGAAATCCCTTCTCCACTGGTAACCGGATACGGAAGGGGCAAGGGCAACTCCCAAGCTTTTGACCTGAGGATCTGAGTAGAGCTCTGGTTACTGTCCACTGAGGAAAAGGTAAATACACATTTTGAGAAGATAAGTGTGTATGTGTGTGTTTTGTTTTTTTCTTAATTTGCTATGGAGGGCCAGCAGGTGATGTAGTGGTTAAAGGCACTGGATTCCCACATAACAGTCTGCAGTTTGAATCCCGGACCTGGTGACTTGCTTTCTTGCTTTCCCTTTCTGTCTGGTAAAATAAAAAATAAAATTGGAATTAAATAAATAATTATTTTTTAAAAATTACTATGGCATGCTTACACTTGCCGGGAGGAAAAGAGAAAGTGAGAAAGCACCCCCTGGGGGGATGGCCATGCTGCAATCTCTTCCTATTTTCCTTTCAAGATATTGGACATGCATACACATGTGCCCCGCATTGCTTCTCAACTCCCAGGTCCAGGACTTGAACCATGCGGTCGTGTGGGATCCAGCCACCTTAATCACGACGTGATGAACTAGCCCAATACATGGGGCTTTTGTATTTTTGTAAGGCTAGTATTTTGGCTAATACTTTTTTTTTTTTTTTTTACCAGATTTTTACTATAGGGCACATATGCTTGCTGGGGAGACAAAGAGTGACAGAAATCAAGAAATCATTCCTCAGGGGGTGGTCATGCCACAATCCCTTTTCTTCCATTATCCTCTTGGGATCTGGGGCATGTACACACATGTCTGGACTGAGTTTCAAGCCGCCAAATGCCCATCTGGGACTCAAACTGAGGTTGGTCACACGGGAGTCTAGCACCTTAACCACTATACCACCTGCTGGCCCTGGTTAACACTAATTTTTGAAGAGACTTTTACAAGTAGATGTACTGACACTATTAGAAGGTACAGTTCCAAGGAATACAGATGAAAGGGCACAGGGGACATGAGACAGCAGTTTGCCTTCATTGTTACTATATAGTTTATTTAAACCAAACTATGATAATACAGAGAAGAGACTGAGGTGGCAGCAGCCCCAGAATCTTTGTGAATTACAGATGCAAAGTCGTCGGAGGAAGGGTCCTTGGACCCACACTCAGTAACAGACAGACATGTCAGCTGCATAAATACAGAGAACATAAGACACAAGACATTTCACAGCTTTTTGCTTTGCGTTTCCATTTTAAACATATGTATAATTTTACATCTTAAATTACTACTCCACATATTTTCTGCCAACAGCTAAGAATGTGATAATGGTCCCATCCTCCTTACATTAGCAGACTTCGGCCTGCAACACGGAATGTTTCGGAATACCAAACAAACCCATAACACGTAACATACAAAAAGTTCCTTAAAAATCAGATTAATACAATGTTCTTCACGGTATATGAAGAGGTGGAAAAACAGGACATTGGGGGTGCTTTAAATGTATAGTATCTTGAGGTCTTAAAAGTTTCAATCCCTTCCTCAAAGGGAAACCATCGTTTGAACTAATGGAAAAAAGAAAGGAACATCATGATGTCCTACATGGAGGAAGAACACTATCCTGACAGTGCTTCCATCCTTCCATATAATAAATACAGCAGGTAGCAGAGTAAATGTCACAAGTATTGATTTGGCTTTTATTTCTAGGCTTATAACAAAAAAATATGCTTCTTTGTATGGTGTTAGCCTGTAGGTGTTGGTCTTTGGGGCCTGGACACCCACGGCTGGTTCCATTCCATCCCTCAAGTAGCTCCACTGCCGGCTGTGTGCACGCTATTTCCCCGGGGGAAGAATTCTTGTCTTCAACCTTAATGCAGTAGGGTTCTGGCTCAGTTACATGCTCATGTGTTCCGGAAGGACATAGGAAATATCATCCCATGGATGACGATACAGCCCCTGCTTCAGCCTCTTCTGATCAAGGTAGTGTCCTAAAATGGAGCACATGAATCTTTCTGAGAGTTCCGTAAGCTGGGAGAGGGGGGTAGGATGAGGAAGGAAGTACAATCTTTCTAATACGAAATAGGTTATTACAAAGAAATAGGTAAATAAATCTAGATCCAGATAGGTGGATCAGTCAGATTTAATAAGAGGGAACTGTTGGATGTCATTTCATTTTCCTTGCTAGCAGGTGAAGTCATCTCCAAGAATAAAGAACGGCAATATAGATAAGGGGAAAGTCAAAGAATGTAAGGAAGGATTAAGAAAATGTGGCTGTCTTTTTTGTAGAAAAAGGGTAAGTGGTATAGCTAAACTGTGGGGATTAAATTAAAAAACTGCCCTAAGACAACAGAGGGCCCAGCCAAAGTGGCACATGCTGCTAGGGCACTAAGCTATGCAGGGTGGGACAGGTCCGATTCCAGATCCAACCTCCAGGGGGCGTGCACGTGTAATCCCAGCAACTCAGGAGGCCGGCCTGGGCTACTCAGTGAGACCTTGTCTGAACTAGAGCCAGATGTGGTGGCATATGTCTACAGTCCCAGCTGTGACACAGTAAGACCCTGTCTTGAGCAACAACGAACTCACCAATGAAGCCCATACTCCTTCCCAGCACAAAGATGCCATTGAGGGCTCCAATGTCAATATATTCATCAGCTTCTTCCCTATAACACACAATCAACCGCAGTTTTAAAATGGCTCACATGACCACCCTCCTCCCCAGACAGTCCTGCTTCTGCCCAGGGAAGAGAAGCTCTCTTTAGTTTTGAAAACAGAAAAGAGGGGTGATCTGGATGGTAGGACTTGGGGGAGGTTGTTTTCTTCTTTATGCCTCCATTATTTCCCAACTCCTTTATAATGGGCATGGATCACTTTTAGGGCTGGAGAAAACAACAATCAATAGACATTTTGAAGAAGAAAACAGCTGCAATGCTCACCGAGTAAAGGATCCGCAGTTTCTAAGCATGTCTACAAATGCAACGCCGATGAAACCATCTACATTCAGGATAAGATTTGGCTTCTGGGGAAGCAAAGAATTCAGAGCATTTAACATTATTTCTGACTTTTTAAATTTCCATTGTCATTTCCCACAGTTACTACTACTATTATAACCATCATTTAAAATCTCCTCTATCACAACATCCCGGTTGGTCGAGACTGTGTCAGTCAGTTTAGTTCCTGGTGTCCAGCAAAGACCTGGCACTCAGTTGACATTTGGTTCATGTCTGTTGAATTTACTTATGTCACAAAAATAAAAATATCCAGAAAACTGAGTTTGATTTTTAGCTACATAATCAAAATGGAACCTGGCTCCTGTTTTTCCTAAGAAATTCACCCAAAAATAGGAGTAGGAATTAGAAAAAAACTTTTTTTTTTTTTTGGAGAGGTTTTTTGCTATAGGGCGCGTGTGCTCGCCAGACAGGCAGAGACAGAGAGATAGAAAGCGAGAAATCACCGCCCAGGGGGGATGGCCACACCGCAATCCCTTCTCCTCCATTCTCCTCTCGGGATCTTGGGCACGCACACACACACGCCCGGCCTGAGTTTAAACCACCGGGTCCAGGACACAAACCACGGTCGACTACATGGGAGTCCAGCAACATAGCCATTACGCTAACTGCTGGTCCCCCAAAATTTTTAAATTAGTTATAGGGCATGTGTTCTTGCCAGAGACAGAAAACGAGAAAGTGACAAAGCACCCCCCAGAGGGGATGGTCATGCTGCAATCCCTTCTCCATCTTCCTCCATCCTCCTCTTGGGATTCTGAGCATGCAAACACACGTGCCCAGCATGTTTCTCAAGCCACTGGGTCTAAGACTCAAACCATGCAGTCGGCCATGTGGGGTCCAGCTGCCTAAATCACACACTATTGTCTGGCACTAGAAAATGTTCTGGTTACCTTTGAGGTGGTAATTTTCTCCACTTCCAGTGCATAATCCAGCAGCGGGGTGGCAGGGAAGTGCTGTTTGACGTAATCTTTGAGGATCTGCACTCGCATGTCTGGATTGTTTATCTAGGAACAGACCCAAAGTTACAGAGGAGCCCACTCCAATGTGTTAGGAGATGTGAGGTGGACAGAACTCTATCTGTCCTG